TGAACTTAAATAAGCGATTTCTTCTTTTCGGTACTTACCGTATCAGTCAGAACTTTGATTGTCTCGTGAAACATTTCTTGCTTCTATCTGTAGTGTATTTAGCTTTTGATAACTCTTTTTGAGATATTTACGATTTGAGAAAACCACGAATAAATCCCATTCGTTTCGTCAGATACTTACAGTGGGCTTTTAAACTTTCATGGATTCGTGAAATTATTTTTGATTGTCTTTGTTGGATATCTACGGTTTGGGTAAACTACGAAGTACGATTTATTCTGTTTGTCGGGTTCTTACCGTAGGCTTTTTAAACTTCACGGATTCATGCTATAATTCTGATTCTGTTTGTAGTATATTTACGGTTTGAGTAAAACGCGAAATAAATCCCATTCTGTTCGTCGGGTATTTACCGCAGGCCTAGATCACAGAGGATTCCTAGTGTATATCTTCACCCATAAAGCCATGCCTTTGGAATTGACTATATGTGTAAATGTATTTGAGTAAAAATACATGTGTGTTTCTAGTTGCATGTAGGTCGTTAGAAGTGGTATCTCGTTTGTATGCTTTCAGATGTGGCATGAATTTGTGGCGTTTTGTAAATTATACTTTTTGTACTTGGCCAATATACAAACCAGTAAAAGATGTAACGCATGCAATGATCTTTGAATTTTAAATTTGTTATTTTTTATTTACTCAATGAAGTGAAGAAATAAGGCGAAAAGACGATGCACAAACAGAAGACTTGTTAGATCTCTATACATCAAAGGGTTTGGTCTTCCTTGATCTTCGGGCAAAATATCACTAAACCCATGCACGCGAGGCAATGAAAGCCTGGCTCATGGCGCAACGTTAAAGAGAAATTCCTTTTATCAACAGCACAGAACAAATGATTGTTTTACAAGTAAATCAAGATAGTGTTATAAAGTCTTCACAACTCTGGCTATCAATGAAACATAACGTACGACTCTGCATCTGTGGCTCCAGTCTCACCAGTTTGATGCGCAATTTGCGTTTACAAGAAAACAGCCTGTATGTAAAGGACACGCAACTCACAGAAAATATAACACGTCAGGTGTTCGTCTTTTTTTACATTCATTTTGAAAAGGTTTAAAAGGGACTTGTCAACATTTGAAGGTTTGTATTTACAAATGTTCATTATTGTCCCGGACATCGCTGCCGCCGCCCGGACTAATATTACTAAACGTTTTTGTTTACAACTTTTCACGTCTTCATATTGTGGTTAAGAAACTTTAAATGGACTTTAATTCTTTCAGTAAAACATTTGGGATTATGAAGTTTATTTTCTGTGTGTTTAAAGTATGTGTTTATTTCCTCGCCAAGTGACGACTTTCATTTCCATTCGGAATACAAATAAATATGCAAAAGATGAAAATTGGAAATATTACCGAAGAAGGTGGAAATTTCTACTCTTTTTGTGACTAGGAAACACAATCCGAAATATATTTGATAACCAAACCGTTCATAGATTATGAAGATAAGGTATGGAGTTCATATATCCTTGAACATCCGTTGTGTAGTTCACCGGCTCATGAACATAAGTGTCGATTGCTAACAACCCGGACGAGCTGAGGTGTATAGGACGACAGGCTCGCAATCTGCAGTAAGTATAGCACATCAAGTTACAAACCCGCTCTGGAAACTAAATATCCCTAAGGAATTAAACTTGAAAGACAGTTAACTCTGGGTGATTAGCCGGAGAAGATTGTGTCTAAATCTGGGAGAGGGGCAATGGGTTTTTGGACACGCCTCTATATGTGTCATTTAGCCTTGTGGAAGCTACCCGGGGTAGGACGTGAATTTATAAATCTTACTTGAGCGATTTGTACTGGGGTGTAGATATAAGGTTATCAAACGGTTAACATATCCACAAATAATCCCGAGTAAAAAATATTTTTACGACCTGGTATTTTAAAGTTATTTTAATGATACGCAAAAAATGGGGATAGCTGTCAAGCGGTTTGTCCTCGTTGTGTAGATAAGCACAAAAATGGTTAGATATTTGTCACAGATACCAAAATTAGCTAGAATGGATACATGATTTGCATGGAGTGAGTGTATATCTGTTGATCTAGACGAGACCAGGACGGCAGGACCTATTAGCATGCTAACCGGCTAATTAATAGCCACGGCTTAAACCACTAGATTAGAGGGCGATCTTCGATCTTCGATCATTAACGATAACGCTAGAGTTCACCCTCACGTTCTCAATGAAATAATTACAAAAGTGATTCCTAACGTTAATGAATTTCCGATTTACGTCACGTTTTGTTTATTTAATTGGTCGAGTAGTTTTAATTTTACAATTTATTGATTATATTTATATTTTCTCCTAAATGGTAGTTAGTTTTATTTTTAAACAAAATATTGATATTGTTTTGTTATTATACCTACTGTAAATGGTATGTTAGTATGTTCTTTTTCTAAACAGCGGTTTCAAATTAGATATTGATTTTTTATTGATTTTAAACAGAATATTCTAGCTCTTTTTTCTATATTGATGAATGTATAGTCTATTGGAGTTGAATCAATGACAACGGTTGTTGTCGTAACGTAAACTGTAACGTTTGGGTTATCTTTGCATGTGTTTTTATTTTATTTTTTTATTGATCTATTTATTTTTGTTTGTTTGTTTGTTTAATTATCGATCTATCTATCTATCAGCATTTTTCTTTAACTTTGTCCTTGATTTAAAGCTAAGTATTGTTTGTAACGAAATAGGATGTTATATTTCAGGCTGCTTTATTTTAATATCGCATAATAATTAGCAAAATTTAGATAAACTGCAAACTTATATTTTATTTTCCTACGCTATACATATTAGTTATGCACCATATGGGTATAAATCAATTACGAGATAGATTATCATTTAAGAGTTCTAATAAATATTGTAATGAAAGCGACATTCCATTTGATTTATACATATTCATAGATCTAATGTTGATTTATTTCCGTTGTACTTTGAAAGTATGTGATTAAACCTTCTTTGCAAACTCTTCTTCCGATTCAAATTGAATTAAAATAACTGCATTGATGACCGAGTTTGTTCAAGGTCTTCAGCCCCCACTGGCTCCCTAGGGCGGACCCTATCATGTATTTGTATATCAGAGTATCCTGATTCAATCAGTCCAGTTAGTGAGCACAGAAGCTGTTATCTATAGTTGAGCTAACTTGTCATTTGATGAGTGCAGGTCACGGAGTACAACTGCCCCTTTGGTTCTGAGCCTAACTCTGACAACCTGTTAGTTTCGCACTATTTTTATAAACACGTGCAACACAACACCTGTGATACAGATGCTGAATTAGTCCTTGTAACTGTGTCAATATTCCCATCCTTTTATTCCCCCTTGTATTTGTTTTATCAGAGTTTTCTACATCATTAGGGGAATTTGTCTAATTATTTTCTAGCAAAAAGTTAAACTTGTTTAGCTATAAAAATATGCTGTAGCTTTTTATTTTGAATATGATTTGAAATGCATTTTCTTTCTCTATTTTTTAATATTTAAATATTTTATCATAATGTAAGAAGAAATTCATAAATAATACGAACATATTGATGCCGTTTTTTGCAGTTAAAAATGTTTGCTCTCACGCAACCATTCTTATGAAGTAAAACAAATTTTAATTTTTAACATCGTGTGTCTCTAATCTTCAGTTATACCGGATTATTTTAGCAGGATGACAACGCTCGCCATTTACACTAACAGTTCCTCGATCATCCTGTGCTAGTGACCTGAATATTTGACTTTAAAATTAAGATATCACTATCGACGACTCTTGCCCTCGTTAGCAATTACGGTAACTCATCTTCTTACAATTATTATCTCCGGGACTAATATGAAAATTAATAAATTCGATTAAGTCTGGGACTTTCTGATAACGATAAGATTTCTTTTTCGTGCACCATTTTTTTTTTTTGTTATCTACTTTTGATTTGAAGGAAATGCCAACATTAAAATAACTTTGTCAATTAACATAAATATCGGCATCAATTGACATACCTAAACGACACTGTTCAGATCGGTGTTATCAAATAATAGAATAACGTTCGTCATACTGCGTAGTAACCACTGGTATCTTCGATAGGCCAATATATATAGATATATTGATTACCTGATCGGTACAAGACTATTGAATCGTATTAATTGGTAAAATACGCACATTTATCTGATTAACATAATTAATACGAAAATAATCACTTCGCCAATGGTCGATTTTCAATACTGAATGCAATTAAATTAATGATATATTGGTATTTTTACCGTATCACATCAGAGATCTCAGTAAATCGTTATATTAGCAAAATTGTATTCAATGATTATGAACCGTTTATGACTTCTATACGAAACATTGTTTTACCGTCTTACGGTGTACATTGTAATACTATGTTACGGTGTACATTGTAATACTATGTTACGGTGTACATTGTAATACTATGTTACGGTGTACATTGTAATACTATGTTACGGTGTATCGTGTACATTGTAATACTATGTTACGGTGAGTGTAAATGTGTTATGTTGAGTGTATATTTTATACATTGTGTCACAGTATTTTTACGTTCTGTGTATATTATACATTGCTTCAAAGTATATGTAAATTGTATACACTGTTTTACAGTATTTGCGTTTTGTGCATGTTATACATTGTTTCAAAGTGTATGTATATTTTATACATTGTTTTACAGTGTTTATGGTGCATAAATACATTATTTTCAGTGTAATATGGCAACTTTGTTTACTTTTATCAATATAACTCAATTTGTTTATATACATTTACCATCACGAACATTTTGTATATATATCATACTAATATTATAGTATATATAACAGTATTATACAAATATTCCATTATATATAATATTACACAAATATTCAAGTTTATATATTATGCTGATATTTCATTATATAGATCATGTTGATATTTCATTATATAATATTATATTTAATTACATTTTACTATAATAAATTTTGTCAGATACTTACCACCACTTCGTTCCCTTTAACTTTGTTTTCTTGCCTTGCCCGAAATGAAAAGCTGCGGTTAAAACTAAAATAATAAATAAAAGTTCTCGCATTTTATATCCCTTATTTCCTCGAGCCAAGATGATGTTCTGTGATGGCCTCACATGTCGTAATCCTACTGTCAGTTCCGTCCCCGAATCCGTCACTCGCGATACTGACGTAATGGTCAAGTCATTCTTATCTTTAGTGACGTAGAGATCCAAGTTTTTTACACCTTTGTCCAGAGCCTCGGGTGTGTTAATTAAACTCAAAGGTGTTAATCCTTTGACCACTTCTAGTCAGTTCCGGTCAAATCGGTCTATCTTTCTGATCGCCTGTGATTATTACATCAAGGGCCTGTCAACTCGTAGACAATAGGGGTGTCGGATGATTTGTTGTGATAATTAGCAGGGTAATTATCTCACTGATTACACGCCGTGTGTGTGACGGTCCCGGTAGTCCGTTACTGCCCCTACTGCTGTGTGTATACTAGGTCTCTCCTCCTCCTCCTACTTCGCTATCCTCATTCAACCTCCAATGTCAATGGCACTATTTCACTGACAATTATCCAACACTCTCGCCGATATGACTGGGCGGTTATTCAATAAAAAAATCAAAACTCTCATTTAAATTGCCAAATTATTGTAGACACTGTTCTGGCTGCCCGTTTTCTCAGTTTTCGACTTAATATGAGAATATAACCCTGTTATACATTTTCTTGATAAAATCATATCTGTTTCTTTTTGAACTTAACAAAACACACACGTTTCGGTACGAGGAGCGTAAATACTAGCTAGTATATCTCTCCACCGAACACACCACGTGTTGTACCGACACTTTCACCGAGCCTTCCTCTAAATATATATATACGCTTTCAACACCAATATAGTAGTGAATAGTTTAGGTAAACCACAACTATCGTATTTTTTTTCTTTCCAAAGTGATGCTGATGACATCATGGAAATTTATATACAACTTTGATTATGCTGTACGTCCCTGTATCTCCCCATCGGGACCGTTCGAGCCGGGCCGTAACGGATAGGTAAGGGCCGCCTTCCTCGGTGATTGACTGGCAGCCGACGTCCGACCACCTATCGAATCAGGCGACCTCAGGGATAGGGAAAGTCACCTTCTATTACTCAAAGCTTGTCCACTACCCGAGAAAGGTAATTCACCTTCTCCGAAATATCATTATTTAGAATGAGTAGCGTTTCCGTAGAAAATTCTACAGCTCTATATTATAGTGGCTATAATGGCTGTATGCTTGGCTGACGGTACATGTGCTGTACCGGGTGTCGTCTGAGTAAACCTGTTAAAGATAGGTTTGCTGAAGGTCTCTACACTCCAACACTGTTTAATACTGCCTTTAAAATCAATTAAATGCTCTAATGTAGATGTGTGGCATCCTAGTCCATCCCACTCCCCCTCATCTGGACACAACGCTCTGGGGTAGAAACGGAAGACATGCACACCTATTCGCGGTCAAACCTGTGGATCCCTAGTACCTATCATCAGCAGGACTGGTCAGGTGTTCTGGCATTAGTCCAAGGTAGTGACCATGTCACCGTCATTATTCAGTCGTCAAATCATACCATTAAATCCGTTTTTATGTCTTGGAATTCACGAATTATGGCCGGAGAACTATCACTTTTCTTAACCTTGGTATACCGCCATCGACGAGCGAGGCGACTTGGACGTGAGTGTAATTTGCGAACACTGTCCAATTTGTTCCACAGCCAATGAGAATCACATCACAGAACGCGGACAATGACTTTCCCTAATAGGTGCAAACTGTCCCACCATAAATTCACTGGACAATAGTTTCAGGGCTTGTCGATGACCACCGGATTTAATTTCCAGACACCAGCTCCAATTGAGCTATAAACTCGGGTACATTAAATTACCCCAACATTCCCGGAGTGTCTCGAGGGCATATCGCTGTAGATTCCGCAAAAATACGTCGAAAACTATAACATATATTACAATAAGGGTATTTATAAGCTAATGTATAAAAATGCATATAATATACATTCGTATATAGATATATACAAATGAATGTGTGAATTATTTAAATTGTTGTCAATTTATCGTCAACAGACCGTGGGGTTCATCGCTATAGTAATACGCCAGCACACAACAGTGTACATCTTTCTAAATGACATTAGGAATTTTACTCTAGTTCAAGTAGCGTATGACTTAACGTGTAGATCAAAACTACACCTACTAAACTGGCAACTGACATGTTCATAAAAATCAAAATGTTATGTCATTGTTTGTGCAGAAAAATATGCAACGTTAATAATTCAACTTCTTAAAATAGTTTCCGACATCAATTTATCAATTTAATCTACGTATATTTGTGTGACGATCTTTGTTGTGTTCCTCATTTTAATGCTAACTTTCCTGTAATTTCAGTAGAAAATGCGTTTGTTTTTTTGAATATATCTACGATTTTTTTATTTAGTACTACGCAGTCTATTTGAGGATTATAAAATTGTAACGTCATTATGATTATAGGATACTATGCTTGTATAAGATAAACTTTTTAACACATTAATTTTCTATAACGATTCGCATCTTTTTTCAGTACTAATGTATTTTTATAATTATGCTGTAGTTTCCCTTTCATCGTGTTTTGCATTTAATGTTAAGATATTCATTTTTTTATTGTCAGACTAACTTATAATACTTTATCTTGAGGTCAATGTCTATCGACCCAATATCCCATATTTTTCCGATATGCCCTGTCTTGTAAAGGTGTTGTATAGCTTGACCATGTCCTTAAGGTTTTCCAACAATCGGTCTACAGTAGTTCTAGGTCACGACACGATGATTTTCGGACACTTATCCACACAATTTACCCTTGTCCTCGGATACTTATCCACACAATTTACCCTTGTCCTCGGATACTTATCCACACAATTTACCCTTGTCCTCGGACACTTATCCACACAATTTACCCTTGTCCTTGGATACTTATCCACACAATTTACTCTTGTCCTCGGATACTTATCCACACAATTTACCCTTGTCCTCGGATACTTATCCACACAATTTACCCTTGGTTCGACAAATCACACGTAAATGCGCAACTGTTTTAACCTTTCACATTTTACTCCGTTTCCAAACGGAAGAGGTGTTTCCCTTCAGAAATCCTTCCTTCAGAAAAAAAACGTTCAACGTAAAGCAAGCGTGTTTCAGCAATTGTAGTATAAGAATGGTTTCTGCGTTATTTAAATTCTTTCTTGTTCCACCGGGGAGCCGTAAATACTAGAGGTCCAGAAGTCTTGTTGGAATTCTAGTTTTCTTTGGTCCACCTAATCCTCTGTAATTACGGGCTAACTATTCCCTCACTCTTCTATCCTCAAAGCTCTAATATACAGACTTTTCTTTCTCTCGCCGATTGAAACAGATATGGCCTTTGTATCTCTGTTTGAGTGTTGTTACGAGTTGTACTGGGTACCCTGTATGCTTTCCGCGTTTTGTACTCCAATACATGTGTGAGAAGCTCCATAAACAATATCTAACACTGTGGACAGGTCACATGTCATACCTGTGACCCGTACGCAGATCTTCCAATTATTCTCTGCCAAATTTAACTTATCTTTGTCGTGTCATTAAGAATATGCTTTACCTCGAATTTAACACATAACTGTTAAAATGAACACAAAACTTCAAAATGTTTACTAGAAAAACAGCATAAATAGAACAGAAACTCTGAAATCAATACCCATTCACAGGATAAAACATGGTATTCCTCACCTTACTTACAGGTAGAAGAAATTTCTACATTTCTATGTGCGTTGTACCGAAAATTTATTTTCTAAAATGTGCATATCGGATTTAAATGGAGGTAAAAAAAATAATCAATCTTGTCCACGCTTAATTAAATTTTAGTCAAATCCATACAATACATCTGCAGTTCGCGTTTGTTTCGATTTTAATTGATTTTTAATTTTTCTATTTCAGTTATTTGATAAGTCAACTATTTCAATTCTGCTTGTCAATCGTTTAGTAGAGATCACGAGCGTGTGTTCCGCTGTCGGAGTTCTATCAATCTCCGAAATACCACACTGACCTTTGACCTTGTCTTTTTGTTTGAAACTGTGAAATGTTTTGTTAGCTTGAATTGAACTCGTCAATATTTTGTTCTCGAATTTTCGTGAAAATAAATAAATATCACACTTTTACCTCTATATTTCTCTTATCAAACAGGAACATAAACATTATCGTTTTTTTTTTATTAACGACAATATTATCAATGGAAAGCTTATATATTCAATGTCATTTATGAAAAGGGTAGGTAATGTATAAAATACTATGATAAATTTCATGTGTAAAGTATCATTGATAGGGAGTGAATACGTATGGTATACATTTATTTCAGTTACATTTATAAAAGATATTTGAATGAAAGTATATACTGTCAATGAAATATTTGACGTAGATGGAAAATGTGTTTTGTTTAAAATACTTTTGACGGATTAAAGTGTATATATAAGATACTTATAAGATACTTTTGACGGATTAAAGTGTATATATAAGATACTTTTGACGGATTAAAGTGTATATATAAGATACTTTCGATGAAGACTATGAATAATTTTGATTGAAAATGTATGCATAAAACATCATCGGTATAATATTTATATATGATTATAAGTGTATGCAAAAAATTGTATAAAATATATTTGATTGATATTGTATATAAAGTAATCGACAATGGAAGTTGTATGTTTAATGTAGTACAGGGTAATATTTGACGAGGATAGCTTTAATCCGACCAGATATTTGCTGCTTTTTTTTTAAAATTTTGGTAAAAATTATGTAGACGTCATCAAATGCTTATTGGGCAGCTGATGAATTTAATACAAATATGTCCAGGACGGAATTGAAATTCATGTAGCATTTTTTTTAAATGAGTCGAGCATTTGATGTGTTTTAACCTGGCATGAGCTATGTAAAGTGTATTATAAAATTAAAGTTTAAATGTTCGGTTCCATCTTATTTTCAATAAAATTGTGTATGTTATTGCTGTCATTATGATTAAAACACTGGCTAACGTGACATATATATCTAAACTAAAATGTAAATAAGATAAAGCTGTATAATTGTTTTATTTGATGTCCTAACCAAAACGCATGTGACTGTTGGGTTTAAGGTTGTCTGATCACGAGATAACCTCGCCGTGGGTCACAACAGATCCCTGACAAAAATGTACAAAACCACACGCCACCCTGGGACACTAGAGGGTAGACCGTGTCGTGTTGGTATGTGAGTGAACACTGGAATGTCATTGCCGTGAATCTCGTTAATCCGGACATCGATATTCTGGTCATAGACTGGACCCTCGTTAGTCCAGACTACGATACTCCGGTTATACACTGTTACTTCGTTAGTCCGGACTACGATACTCCGGTCATACACTCTTACCTCGTTAATCCTGTCTACGATATTTCGGTCACACACTCTTACCTCGTTAATCCGGACTACGATACTCCGGTTACACACTGTTGTCTCGTTTATCCGGACTACAATACTTAAGCTATAAGACAGCCAAGTTGCACGCTAGACAATGGAACTTCGAGAGCGCGCTCATACGTTGGAACCTCGTTTTCCGGACTACGTTAATCCAAAAGAGTTCACTTAATAATGCCAATCTCAATAAGCTTACTGACACATATTTTATCATTATTTTTTAAAAGTATTTATGAACTCCATGAGTTAGGAATAGTTGCTGTTATCAGAAAAAAATGATTGCCATGAAGATAAAAATTATACTATAAAAAATAAGAATATATTCTGACAAATAAGGAAAGGATTTCAAGCAGAAGGTTATTCTGTAAAATAGAGATGGACTCTAGGAATGAAGTCATAGGCAATGCTTGTATAACTGCAGATGGTTTCTCTGGGATGGAATGAATGACGTAGATATGACGTCATGACCGATGTTTGTATATGTGTATTAGGACGCTGTCGTATGACGTCATAACAGATATTATTACCCCTTTGAGAAAAATCTAGGAATCTGATTGGTTAAAAACTACAGTGTACCAAACCGCATTCGTAAATCTCAGGGGGTATACGAAAATCTCAGGGGATATACGGTCATGTCACGTGATTCTCAGCAGTAATATGGTGGAATCACGTGATTTTACAAGGGGTATACGGGTCACGTGTCTTTGTATCTTGCGGCCGTACATCGGGAGACAACTCTCATTCGTCGTCTGCTTCGCTGTTTACAAAATGGCAAAACGTTTCGCTTCGCATACTGATGAGGAAATACTCGCCAAAAGGGCTAACTACGTGCCACATAACACACAAAAGTCGAACAGACGAGCGGCAAACATGCTGAGAACGTATTTAAAGGAAAAGAATCAGGAAGAACAGCTCGAGGAATTTGATAAAACGAAACTAAATGAGGTACTGTGCCTGTTATTTTTTATTATTTTTTATTATAAAAGACTCAAGGGGGTAATACATTCGTTACACGGATTTTTTGCAGGGTATACGGGATGGTATGACCCTACAGGATTTCGTATTTCCTTCGGCCGATACTGTAATAATCTAGTCTAATATGACGTCGTGACCAATAGTTTATATCACTGTATAAAACACGGTTGTATGGCGTCATTGTATGTAACGCTGACAGTTGAAGGACAAAGTGGTATGCTATTAATGACCAATCACTGTATTCGAATACTAAGGTATGATCTCATCACAGATGTTTCAATCACCGAAGTAGGACACTGTGACATGACATTGTGAGCAATGTGTTATTGCTGTTATAGAAGACTTCGACAGGACGTCGGCCATTGTTTGTTTCACCGCAGTGAGAAAGTATTAGCCGATAGTCAAAAAACACTGTTGTATGACGTCATTGCGAACGTTTGCAAAAGGATGCTGTGGTATGATTATGGCTAATGTTCAAGTGTAAGTATCAGGACATCGCGGCATGACGTCATGGCTTACTTTGGTACCACCACAGTCCGGTACTTTTGGGTGACGCTATGACCATTTTGTCAGTCATTGTAGTAGGACACTGTGACATGACTTTATGACAAATGCTTTCATTACATGGTAGAAACTTC